AAAAAAAGAAATAAATGCAAAAATATATATATATTAATACATAAATCTTCCCAATAAAAAAACGTTTTCTTATGTAAAATTCGAAATATTAACGAAGAGAGGAAATTTATGACACGTTTTAGTGATGTTCGTTTACCTGTGTTGTATTTTTTTCATCAATAGAGAGTCAGGTCTTAACAAGCTCTCTGTCCTCTTGTCGTCTCCTCCTCCTCCTCCTCCTCCTCCTCCTACCCTTTCCTCCCTCTTTTGGTCCCTCCTGCAAACACCTAAACGTTTTTCTTCTCTCTCTCTCTCTCCATTCGTTTTTCTCTTCCTCCTCCCCCTCCCCCTCCTACCCTTTCATGAGAGAATGAGAGAATGAGTGAAGGGGGAAGGAAGAGAGAGAGAGGGTTTGAGAGTGTAGGTGGGATGGAAGATACGGAGACGAAAGGGAGGGAAGGAGTGAGAGATAGGGAGGAAGAAAATAGAGAGTGAAAATGAGAGAGGGAGAGAAACAGACAGACACACACACAAAGACAGGATTAGATAGAAAGAGAGGAACAGATATTCAATCAGACAAAACACAGGCAAACAATAGAAAGAAAACAACGTAAGTGATAAAAAAAAGTAGAAAAGGCAGAAACAGAAAACGGAAAAGGAAAAAAAGAAAGAACCTGAGTGAAATTCGAAAGAAAAGGAAAAAAAAGTCAACAAAACAATATAGGATCATTTCCTTTTTTGGCGAATCACTAATCTGATTAAAGAAATCTCGTTCCTAAAGAATCACCACATTTTTAAAAGAATAACAATGAAAATGAAATATAAAAGAACTTACTTGTGTCTCTATTCTGAAGTGTCACATAAATTCTTGCTGCTTTACGCATCGTAAGATCGTATCGTATGAAATTTAAAAAAGAAAAAAATATATACAAAAGAAACAAAAGAAAAATATACATATTTTCTTCTTTAACATGTAAAATTCGGAAAATTAACTGAGAGGAAATTTATGACACGTTTCAGTGATAATATAGTTTAGTTTTTTTCATCGTCTGGCTGATAAATAATGATAGAATGGCATATTTAGAAAGAAATAAATGAACAGCCACACGAACCACGAATCTGAGTGGAAGAATCTCTGGCCTAAAGAATCACACAAAAAGAAACAAAAAAAATCCTGCTTGTGTCTTTCTTCTAGATTATCACGTAAATTCAGACTGCTTTGCGCCTCGAGAGATCGGAACGCTTGAAATTAAAGATATATCTAATATAAAAAAAGAAATAAATGCAAAAAAATATATATATTAATACATAAATCTTCCCAATAAAAAAAAACGTTTTTTTTATGTAAAATTCGAAATATTAACGAAGAGAGGAAATTTATGACACGTCTTTAGTGATGTTCGTTTACCTGTGTTGTATTTTTTTCATCAATAGAGAGTCAGGCCTTAACAAGCTCTCTGTCCTCTTGTCGTCTCCTCCTCCTCCTCCTCCTCCTCCTACCCTTTCCTCCCTCTTTTGGTCCCTCCTGCAAACACCTAAACGTTTTTCTTCTCTCCCTCTCTCTCCATTCGTTTTTCTCTTCCTCCTCCTCCTCCTCTCCTCCTCCTCCTCCTACCCTTCCTCCCTCTTTTGGTCCCTCCTGCAAACACCTAAACGTTTTTCTTCTCTCTCTCTCTCTCTCCATTCGTTTTTCTCTTCCTCCTCCTCCTCCTCCCCCTCCTACCCTTTCATGAGAGAATGAGATAATGAGTGAAGGGGGAAGGAAGAGAGAGAGAGGGTTTGAGAGTGTAGGTGGGATGGAAGATACGGAGACGAAAGGGAGGGAAGGAGTGAGAGATAGGGAGGAAGAAAATAGAGAGTGAAAATGAGAGAGGGAGAGAAACAGACAGACACACACACAAAGACAGGATTAGATAGAAAGAGAGGAACAGATATTCAATCAGACAAAACACAGGCAAACAATAGAAAGAAAACAACGTAAGTGATAAAAAAAAATAAAATAATAGTAATAATTAATAATAATAATAATAATAATAATAATAATAATAATAATAATAATAATAATAATAATAATAATAATAATAATAATAATAATAATAATAATAATAATAATAATAATAATAATAATAATAATAATAATAATAATAATAATAATAATAATAATAATAATAATAATAATAATAATAATAATAATAATAATAATAATAATAATAATAATAATAATAATAATAATAATAATAATAATAATAATAATAATAATAATAATAATAATAATAATAATAATAATAATAATAATAATAATAATAATAATAATAATAATAATAATAATAATAATAATAATAATAATAATAATAATAATAATAATAATAATAATAATAATAATAATAATAATAATAATAATAATAATAATAATAATAATAATAATAATAATAATAATAATAATAATAATAATAATAATAATAATAATAATAATAATAATAATAATAATAATAATAATAATAATAATAATAATAATAATAAT